CTGCCAAAATATAACGCTTGCTAGTGATTCACACACACAAATACATATACATTTATACATGTACACACACACACATACACATACATATATATATGTATGTATGTGTGTGTGTGTAAATGTGTGCGTTTGTGTGTTTATGTGTATATATATATATATATATATATATATATATATATATATATATATATATATATGTATGTATATATATATATATATATATATATATATATATATATATATATATATATATGTATACATATATACATAAATAGATATATATACATATATATCTATATATCTATCTATCTATATATATGTATATATATATATATATATATATATATATATATATATATATATATATATACATTTATATTGATACATTTGTGTGTATGTGTGTGAGTGTGTGTGTGGGTGGATATGTGTGTGGGTGTATATATGTGTATACATACATATACAGATATATATGTATATATATATATATATATATATATATATATATATATATATATATATATATATATATATATATATATATATGTGTATATATGTATATGTGTGTGTGTGTGTGTGTATAAATATATATATATATATATATATATATATATATATATATATATATATATATATATATATATATATATATATATATATATATATATGTATGTATGTGTATATATATATATATATATATATATATATATATATATATATATATATATATATATATATATGTATGTATATGTATGAGCGAGGCGAGGTCACTGTTTCCGCTGTCTACGTCTGCATAATGACATGCCAGATTCCTCGGGTACCTACTCATGCCTCGCCCTCGAGGCGCTTTAGATTGGCTTCAAGGGGTGACCCAACTTTGCCTGGTCCTCACTGACTGGTGATCTCGTTCTTGCGTGCGTTGTCCTTGGTTCATTTTCGTAGCTGATCGTCCTTGTCGTCCTCTTCTTCTTTCTGGTCCTTGGTCATTCCATCCATCCTCGACGTCCACACGTCCTCGAAGGTCCTCCTTGACTTCGGATTCGCCTAGACTTCCTTGGAGTCATCGTCCAGGTCTAACCCGGAGGTGAACTCATCCATATGTCCACGCAGATCTCGTCCAGGTCCTCCTCAGCTGCGTGCTCGTCCAGACGTCCTCGTAACCTTCATCTAGACTTACGGAGGTTTGGGTAGGAGGTGTCCTCTTCGGCATCTTAGGGCTGCTGATACCTGTGCCGACGAGCTCCTGGAGTTTGACTGGATCTGAGGGCGTCCAGGCAGGAGGCGCCCGTCCACAGCATCCTGGGGCGACAGGTACCTTCACTGGCGAGTTCCTGATCCTTCGCTGGATCTACGGCGGCGCCCTTCCACTACATCCTCGGACGGCTTAATATCTGCACTAACGAACATCTTGGCCTGTAGCCCTATGGCGGTGACGTCCTTCCCACAGCATCCTAAGGTGACCGTTTCTGCAGCAGGGTCATCCTTCGGTGCCGTGTCAGTTATCGTCGGTCCAACTGCTATATACAGTCGGGGAACCAGATCATATACGTAAGAGCCAAGATAGTAGGAGAAGGCAACAGAGAAGAGGGGATGTAAGTGCTACTAGCCGGTTTTTATATAAATTTGCAGTTTTTAAAGCTAACTTTTATTTTACTTTACTTTTTTGTGTGTGTATGAAGAAAATAGGAGAGGGAGACATCAGTAGCGATCTGCATGGACTACCAACCGATTTTAATAGACATAAAGGTAAATAAGGGAAATGACAATGGTAGTCCGCAAGGATTTACTTGAACCAATTGTCCTCACATAAAGAAGAAATGTACGTAAAATACGAAAATGTACATCAAGAACTAGTCACTCGTTGCGACTGACAAAGTCGCAGGCAAAAGAGATACATCATAGACCTTTACACTTACAACTACGATAGCAAGGAACCCTATCAATAAAAAGGTTCCAGTGTCTTTTGTTCTGCGTGGATGACTGAGTAAGAATGAGCTCACATTCGGAAATGTATGACATGTATGGCACAAAAGTGAAAGAGCTCCATCCCTCACTGAGGTGAAGCACCCTTTGGGGGGCTGCTTCAGAGGGACGAGCACTAGGGTTCCAAACAATGATGTCCTGTAGGTGGAAGGGCATCCCCTCTGGTCTCTCCCAAGGGGTTTACACCTACCCACACGTTTGCTGTACGTGTGGGTGTCAGACACTGGCTTTGACACACAGCTTCCCCTTGTTGGAAAAATCAAAACAAAACCCCCCACTGACAGATAAAGTTGACGACTCAAGCAAGGCCCAGACCATGGCAGCCACCCTGGAGCCATATGTTGCTCCTGGTGGCAAAAGAAAATCTAACTCTATTCATCAGCTTGTATAGCAGATAGACTCTCGTACTGGTCTCTCCAGACCAGCAGCCAAGCCAGGGAGGACCCTAAGTTCCCTCAGACGGCCTCCCCAACTGAGATGGGAGCACAGGCTGGACCAGCCGAACCAGTTGCTGCCCCCACGAAACAAGCTCCACAGCCGACAACGGACGTTTCCAAGACAAAGGAGTTTCCGGACATGCCAAAGAAGCAGAGAAAGAACCAAAGGAATAAAGGTTCTAAGAATGCTTCAAAGCCCTCCCCAAGAGATGATCTCTTTGATGAGGCAGACATGACTCTCCTAGTCACTGCTGTTGTCACAGCCCTGGAGAAGACAATTGAAGAGGCAGAGATGGCACGGTCGCCATGACGGCAATGACCCAGATTGTTGCAGCCCTGAAGGGAAGAAAGCTGGAAGGAGCGAAACCAGCCACACCCACACCCCAGGATGAGACTCCCCTCCCCACTCCAACCCAGGCAATTCCTCCACAGGCAGATCCAAAACAGGCTGAATCTGTGCAGTCCGAATATGACAATGTCTCAGATGTAACTATCAATTAGTATCATCATGGCACACAACCTTGGCATCCTACAGTGGAACATCAATGGCTTCTCCGGAAGGAATGCCATTCTCCAAGCAGTAGTGCGATCGAGGAGCATGCTCCAGGAGACACGAATAGAGGGCACTGTTCGCTTCTCAGGGTATCATGTCTTCATGCTGCCATAATCAGATGGCAGCAATAGCCGATGCACCGCACTGTGGAGACGATGATGAATCTCGTGCCGTCGAGATTCACCTGGCCGGGGGGCCCCTCAAATTGTACGTGTACAACCAGCCAGGCTGTAGTGGCTTAGATATTAGCCAGGTCTGTGCATCTGCTGCACAAGACTGAGTGATCATTGGGGGAGACTTCAGTGCACACCACCCCATCCTGGCTCCCTGCCGGGCACTAGATGCGGCTGGCTATCACATAGCCAACATGCTTGAGACGTTCCCTGAGATCGCTCTCCTCAATACCCAAGAGTCAACGCATGTCAGAGGAAGAGTACTAGACCTCACCCTGGTTACTGTGACTCTGGTGAAGAGGATTAGCTGGTGCGTTGATGAGACTGTCACAAGTGACCATTACGGCACGGTAATTACCCTCATGGATGCTGGCCCAGCCAAAATCCCATGACCAAATCCAAGATAGAAAACAGACAAGGCCAACTGGCAAGCATTCCAGAACGCCTTGGCCCACTGTCTGAGATGCAATGAACCCACACAAGCTGAAAATGTGGAAGTGCTCGAAGCCAGACTAATAGAAGCCATTAACCAAACAGCCTTACTGACCATACCCAAAACTCAGTCTGGGTCCAGGTGTCACAAGGATGCCTGGTACTTTAACGACGAGATCAGGGAGGTCAACCACAGGGTAAATATGTGCCGAAAACTATTCCGAAGGCAAAGAACCCCTGACAACCTCGCACTGCTGAGGGAGGCTGTCAGGGATACCAAGGAAACTGCCAAGAGAGTCGGGCAGGAAAAGTGGCTGGAATGGTGTGTCTATCGACCACTTTCAGAGCTATGGCATCAGGTCAGGCAAGCTACCAGCCGCTCAGCCCCGAGGTGCAAGCACTACGACCCTCAAGCAGAGGCAGACAGACTAGTGCATGAGTTCTCTGCAAGAACTAGCAGCAACAGTCTGCCAGCCAAGCTCAGGGCAAAACAAGAAAGCCTACAACCAGTCAGACTTGTTCAGATCAGAGATAACTCAGATGTTATCTTTTCTTTGAGGGAACTAAGAAAAGCCTACAAATTCAGTTCCAACACAGCCCCGGGCTCTGATGGGATCATGTACCACATTATCTCCCGCTTAGGACGAGAAGGTGAACTTGCACTCCTATAACTCATCAACAAGTCCTGGGAATCTTCCACTCTACCACAGAATTGGAAGAGGGCTACCATAGTTCCCATCCCAAAACCAAAGGAACCAGGGAAGTACCGCCCCATCTCTCTCCTCAGCTGTCTAGCCAAGACGGCCGAGAGGATGGTACTAAACCGGCTGCAGTGGAAAATGGGACCCCAACATGAACACCTCCACGGGTTCACCAGGGGAATGAGCACAGCGCACAGCATAGCCACGCTCTCAAGCACAATCAGTACTAGCCCATCTGTAATAGTATTCCTTGACCTGGAGTAGGCCCACGAATTAGCAAGTCCTCTTACCATTCAGGAGAGCCTGATCCAGAAGGGAATCAGAGGAAGCTCTTGGCTTGGATAGGTGACTACTTTAGGAACAGAACAGCCAGAGTAAAGTTCCAGGGTCACCTATCGCAGCACATGCCACTTGAAAATGGGACACCACAGGGTGGGGTTCTCAGTCCAACCCTATTCAACACACTAATGTCCTGTATCCTCAACATAAACTTCCCAGTGGGGTGCAAGATCAGCTCTTATGCAGATGAACTTGCTATCACCTCCATTGGGGCACAATGCCAGCGTTGTCTGGACCTTATGTCTGAAGAGTGTTGTAGGACAGGACTAAAGATCTCTGCAGCCAAATCCAAAGCCATGGCTCTGAGACTGCAAGTTCAAGGCACAAGTCTGAAAATCCAGGGAGTAGACTTGGAATGGGTCCCGGTCTTCCAATACCATGGGGTATG